TCAGCCTCTAGGTTGATGGTGTTTATTTCAGCGACACAGTCTGCTTTTGGGCTGGTATTTACAGGTCAAGTTCAAGGAAATTGTATGTTTAAGTAGACTTTTTATGTAGGTCAAACCTTTTTAACACAGTATTTGTGAACACGTGGGTTTTATTAGGAAGGGTTCTGTTATTTTTACTTTAGAAAAATTATTTATTACAGATACATAACAATTGTCTGAATTATAGCCTTAGGACAATCTGTGGACTGAGCTGAAGACCTGGGTCCACGGCCGATTCTGATAACAGTGACTGTTAGCGTCAGAGATGCTCATTTTTGAGTTAATTATGTAAGCTAGTAATGATAGTATAACATAATTTCTATTTGTAATATTTCATTCTAGGAAGAGTTCTAGTTTCTTTCTAAGAAAGTTTAGGCAAAGAGAAGTTGTTTGAATTTTTACGGATCATATTTTTGGTTTAGTTTTTTTTTTTTGTATACACAACCAGGCAATTACAGTGGTTCTCAGCGACTTTTTGAGCCTCCAAACACAGTTCCTTGTTGGTGGAGCTCTTCCTCTTTGCATGGTGGGAGCCACATACCGGCTGTCCTTGTTTAGAGAAGAATACACAGCGTTAGCTTTAGCAGGCCATCATTAATGGAAGGATCAGACGAGGAGCGAGGCCTTTCTTTCATCCGCAGGTTCTCTGCTGGAGACAGTACATCATTTACTGTGGAGAGGAGCACATGGCTCCAATCCTATACAGTGTACGTGTATAGAAATGCGTCCATGTGCATGTTTGAAGTCTGTTTTAGAGGCGACTCCGCGCTCATTTGGATGCTGCTGTAATTGCGGTGTGGAGATCAAAGGGCCGCTGGCCGAGTGATGTTCCCGAGGAGACTGTAGCACACAGCCCTCTCCTCCACGCGGATGGGGCCGCCCGCTGCTCGCCGCTCCCCTCTCCCCTCCAGCCACGTACTGCCCCCTGTACATCCCCGCTCGTAAAAAATGATTAAGGCCGCATTTGTCATGTGTTTATGACTGAGAGGCATTGCATGATAGGGAACGGCATCCACAAGAGTCTATCGAGAGGCTTTCTCCTCTTTACTCGGCGACAGTTAACTGCGTGACGAGACTAACACACACACACACACACACATCCTACTATAAGTTGTGTGTCAGAGAGGGTCATTCGGTCACAGCTGAGGCTGTGTTGTCTGCTTCACTTTTGTACATGGTAGGGGTCGTATGGAGTCCTTTAATCATCATTTCTTCCTTACTTGTTTAACACATAAACAAATTAAGAAATTGGTGCCTGCGTGAAGCTAAAGGAATGGGACAGAGCAAAATAAACTGGCAACTGGTTTAGAATTCAAGATGTGTGTGTGGGTGTGTGTGTGTGTGTGTACATGACCTCCCCACCTGCAGCCCTGATGTGTCTCCTGTTGGAAATGCCTACACATTATAGAGCAAACAGTCAGACAACAGTCACCATAGACTGTTGAGTAATACCCCTAACAAACCTGTTTCCTGTGTACTGCACCTTTAATTGAAAATAAGGATGATGGAAAATATTGGTTGGTCAATATTACCATAATTATGTCACTTTAGTATCAGTTCTTTCTCCAACAATGAACACTTGATAACACGATGCCTGGGTTTTGCCCAGATAATGCACACACCAAAGTGTTTGAGTGCAAATAGCTGCATATATCGGTTGATATCGGGATCAGAACGTAAGTGTTTGGACAATATCAAAAAAGTTATCGGACATCCCTACTCAACAATAATTATGCTAATAATAATTTGAATTGCTTTGATCCCACACTTCTGGGTCTGCCCCCTCTGGCAGACATGCTAACTGCTACACAGTGGAACCACTAAAAAACCTGTACCTGTAGGTATTAATTATTGTCCCACAAATGACCAATGGCGTTGGTCTTAAAACATTTTTGCGAAAACACATCGTCTTTTTGACCTTTGCCTCATGAACTACACATACATTCAAATTCCACACAACGAACCAACCTTTCTGGAAGTGGAGTTTTATTCTTAATCTCCTATGTTAGATTTAAGAGCGTGCAGTCCCAAATACAAAGTGGCCCAGTGGAAACTGCTGCACATGTTCAGGAGTAGTTGTTCTTCCCTGCCATTTCTTTTCCTCGTCCTTTTCTCCTCCACTTTTGGACAATGTGCATTAAAGAAAATTGTCGCCTCTTAAGTAGATGTGTTGACCTTTAAGGAAACTAGCAACCATGACCAGTCTGTGAGTGCATCTGAGCAGTGTGTTTTCCTGGTGTGTGTGAGAGTGTGAGAGCAACAGGGTTCCATCGCTGCACACTTTTATTACATTTATACAGATATATATTTGCCTATATATTCCTACATGAATATATAGTGCAGCTGTTCCTGTTCTCATCGTTGACTTCCCCTCTTCTTATTATACGTTGCCTTTTTAAGTTCAATACCTGCATTAGATAGCACTGTGTCATGTGACCAATCAGTTTGATGGAGAACGTCATCACTGTGTATTTATGATGAGTCAGTTATTAGTTCTTCTTCTTCTACTATGTTTGTGCTTGGTACTTTTGTTGACCTGTAGGGGGCACTTCAACAATTAGTGTAAGGAAGTTTTGCATTGCATAACTCTCTCACTTTGTGTGTCCAAAGTGCGGCCCGGGGGACAATTGTGGCCCACGGTCAAATCATTTACGTCCATCCTCTGTTTGAACCAATGTCGTGAATTTCAGCTTCCTGGATTTTGTTCTTTTCTTTCTGTATTTGACCAGATCAGATATGAGTGATTTGTCATCTGCCCTTTTTGATACGTTTGGACATCCCTGACATAGCTGTTTGTCTTGAGATCTTTGCGTTTGCAGGTTTGCTGTA